GCGTGATTACGAATAAGTTATCCTCCAGCCTTCTATCCCTCCTGAAACCATTTCGGAGCTCTCCCAGTATCTTCTTGCCCTCTGCCCATTCTTCTCTTTACAATCTGCATAGTCATTCAGTATAGATTACTGATGTTACTGTGATTGGTCGGTACGATGTGATACTGTCTCTCCACAGACCAAAGCTCAGTGTCGCTTGATGGACTTTTGAAAAATACCAGTTTGTAGCGGTACTTTGAAAGTGGCTGAGCACGACACGACGTCTTTATGCGCACCTTGGCGCATCTTCAATCACGTAAATCAAAAATCATTTTTTTTTATGTTTTATTTTGTAGTGCATTGTTTCGCGTTTGATCCTCGGGCCGCGTAAATGGATGAGAGAAGCGCGGGTTTCTATGCGGAGAGCGATAGTCGTCTGCTTCTTTTGGCAGGAGTCGCGGTGACGTCAGAACAACGCCGAGCTCTGATTGGCTGATAAAAAAAAAACAAAAAAACCTAGTGGGTAGTTTTTGAGGCACCTAGCATTAAGGTCTACCCACTCTCCTTTCAATCAAAGCGAATCGGAGCTCTGCATCGTTCTGACGTCACGGCCACTCTCGCAAAAGAAGCAGACGACTCGCTCTCCGCGTTGGATCCGGCTATGGATCGACCTCCTTTCAGCCGGCTGCACCTGCTCTGCTCCTCACGTGGACTCAGCCAGTACCAGCCAGAAGACAAGGCCAGAACATGTCGTCATCGTCGGCGAAAACGCTGAAGCTCAACGGGAGCTGCCCCAAAGTGGCGGACGCGCCCGTCTTAGCAGTGTTAGCGTCGCGTTTTGTTGTGAGACGCTGCAAGACGCGCTGGCTGCGATGCTGCCGCAAGCTAGAGTCGGAGCTGTCCGCATTCACTAGTGATGACGTGTGAGCGGAGAAGCGGAGGCCTTGTCTTATAGACTTGACTCAGCAGGCGCACACTGCCGGGCGAGTGAACACGCGGGCAGTCGAAGCTAAAGCCAATCATTTTAACCCTCATGTTTATCCAATGTATACTTACGTAAAAAGGCTGTTTTATGATTGAAAAAAAAAAAAGGATCGCAAAAAAGAAACAAACGAAGAAAACGAATTTCTTGTTCAAATAGTAGTCCGACCGCGCGCTCGTTCTTTCTCTTATGCGGGCTTCCTCGTCAAAGCGACATCTGAGCGAAAGCTGTGGCTCGGATGCGGCGATGCCGACTCCCGAAACAATCAATTATAAAAGGAGAAAGGAAGAAGAAGAAGAAGAAAAAAAAAAAAAAAAAGAAAAAAGGGGTGGGGGTTTTTGACAATCGTGTTGTTTGTCTTGCCGAGCGGTGTCATTTCAAAATCAATTTGGGGTCTGCCCTTCTGGGAGTCGCGGGACCATTTATATCGCGGCGACTCTTCTTAGCGGTAAAACTCGATGGGGGAAGTTGTATACGCGATCGACCTGCCGGCTGAACGCTGATCCCCTTTGTTCGGGCGGCCGCTTGCGCCACCTATAGCCAGTATTTTAAACTACAAATAAAGAAGCCCCCCTCCCTCCCGAATGCGAAAATAAGGAAGTAGTGGTGGAATTGCTTCGCCAAGGTGCGCTATGAACTTTGGCACTTTGGCCAAAATGGCAATTTGCTAAGGAATGCGCTACAACTAGCCGAGATGGGCTTAAAGAAAGCAAACATGGCAATCCTAATAGTCGGACAAGGAGAAGGGAAAATAATCTGTCGCAAATCGCCCTGCAACTGTGTCACTTCGTGAAGCGCTCTCGGTTTAGGGTTAGTGGTGCTAGACCACTAGGGCTAAAGGAAGTGTTTAGTGTAGTTAGTAGTGAGTTAACGTTAGTTGTATAGAGTTTGAATGAGAGTTAGTGGTGCTGACTCCACTTTTCACGTGTCTATTTTCCCGCTAAATGTAGCGGGTGTAGGTTCGAGAAAGCTGAATGTGCGTATAGATCACGTGACATCCTGTCACAAGACGTGAATCTTTCCGCTACATTTATCGGGGAAACTGAATTGCAGTTGAGGTCACGTGGCGTAGAATTTCCCGCTGAATCTAGTACTTCAATTTTTCTTCGCTAAATTTGGCGGGGAAACTAAATTTTCGTATCGGCAACGTGAAATGAAGCCTCGTGACGTCATTTTCCCCACTAAACTTAGCGGGGAAATTCGTAGCTACGCTTTTTGAGGCTTCACTTATTCTGAAAACCTAGCACGATAAACGTGTCACGTTAAAAACGGTACACATATCCTATCCATTTCGCAGCGTCTTTAGTCGCCGTATAGTTTATCTAAGGTTGAAGCACAGTCGAAGGCTTGACATACAACCACGAACACAGATACAGAAGCGCGAGTCACGTGCCATTCGCTGCACTTAATTGATTTAGCCGTTCGATTACAGACGATGTCGGCGATGTCAAGAGAAAGTTGCGCGAACATTTTGCAAAATAGTGGGATGGCGGTTACTGGGATAATACATAACCGGGGTATTTTGCTCCTGATGCGATCACGTGGTTATCATGTCGGTACATGCCCCCGTGCCGTGGCTACAGTCACAGGGTAACGTTGCGCTATCGGCCGCTCGCGTCAACGTTCACCGCCTCACACCAGCGCCCGCGCGTCGAGCTTCTCCGCTTTGCACCGGAGTGATAGGAGAAGCGGCCTACACGGGGCAGTGTCTGGGTTATACTCTGTTTCACCTTGTGTTGTACCGCAGGAAAGGCTACAAGCGCGAGCTCCTTGCTCTGGGACAGATCTCGGCGGCACAAGCTCTTGTGCATCAAGGGCAGCTGCCAACGCTGTGAGCTCGCGCTTCTAGCCTTCGCTGCGGTACAACATGAGGTGAAACGAAGTATAGCACAGCTGGCTCGGAAACTCTGCTGCCGGGTGAGTTACTTTTACGCGTGTTGACTTTCTTCGGAGAAAGGGGAAAAGAAAACGAGGGTCGACATTTAAATGCGTAAGTCAAGGTAGAGTTTCCGTGCAGCAGTCAAGGAGCGAACTCAACCCTGGTTCCAACCCCGGTAATATAGAACTTTCAGAGCACGACTGTACGTTATTAGGGTTGTAGGTGGTTATTTTCTGCAGTTTATGATACCATTAGAACCTTCAGTTTTGTAGGTTCATAAAACTTGGGAGGGCGTAATTTAGTATGGGCACGCATCCTACATAGGATATGCTGGTTTTTGCTGGAATTTTACGGGAATTATATTCACAGGCCAAATAAGCTACCATTGGCATTGTTCTCAAAAGCGTGAGTGGCTGCCCCAAACCAATAGTTTGCCTGCTAGAAAAGGTCAATGCCGGCCGCTTATATCACTGATGACGTGACGCTCTCATATCTGGACCTTAGTCAGATGGGCTCGGTGATAACTCGTACTCGTGCCCGCTGCACTATAAACAAGACCTGCGCACCCCCCCCCCCCCCCCCCCTAACGTCATGAATATATTTATAGAGGCGGCAATGCGTGGGTCCACTTGTGATGACGTAGGGGAGAAGAAGAGGAGGGGGGGGGGGGCGGAGCAGGTCTTGTCTTGGTACGGTTCATGCACAAGAGAGGAATCGCGACCCTGCGAACCTTTTCACCGCCCTATATTCGGCAATTCAAAGTCACTCACAGGAAAGACTTCAAGACGACACCCTTCAAGAAGGATGGTCGTCTGACTTTACTTTTCCGCACCCTTTTTACACCCCTGAAAAATAAATTGTGTTCTGTCCAGGAGATTGTTATCTTAAAAAGTGTTTTTTACACTCGAAAGAAGGGTGTTGAATGGGTGTAAATTCCTGGAACAGCCTTTTTACACCCTTAGGGGCATAAGATGATACCATACACGCTTAAGGGTCATGGTCTGGGAGGGACTATCAGGCCGCAGTGTACGCGACACACAAAGAGTCAACGCGATGACCATTGTGGTCGATATCTATGACGCGTTATACGTTGTATACGCCGGAGTGGAAATCTTGGTAAATTCGCGAAGCAGACGACGAACAATCCGGTGAAAGGGAGGGGACGCTTGACTCCGAAAAGGTCGGGTACGGGGTTGTCAGTTAGTGCAGGACGTTGTTCGTAAGCTCAGTGCGAGTGCATGCCCAACTTGCAACGTGGCAGACACGCAGTCGCGAGGGAGGGAACGCGTCTCCGACGGGTGTGTTTTCAGCGTCCCATTCCGCGTCGAAAATGGTGCCGAAGTGACAACAAACGACGTCACAAACGCCGCAGTGTTGGGTGTCGCCATGGCGTTTGACCGCATACAAGTCATAGCAAAAAACACGAGAGTCTTTCGCTGCAGCGTCGCTGTAGTTGCAGCGTCCCAACTCCAGGCTGGCGAAGAACGCCCTGCAGCAGAATAGGTGGGTCCGCCACATCCGCTGCCGCGACAGACCGCGGCTGGCTACACTCGAAAGACCACCTTTTCTGGACGCGATGAGCAAGAACACCAGTCGGAGACGCCTTCCAGGCACAGTACAGTGGCACGAGCGCGTGAGGTGCACGCGCCGGCGGAAACGAGGACGCTTGCCACCGCGTGCACTCGGGACGATTCACTCCCTCGGGGAGACAGGCGCCGGGTACACACCGCACTCGTAGACCCCCAAGGGGTGCTCCGGAAAGCACCGGCCGTATCCTTCGGTACCCCATCCCCGACCGCACGTGGGTCCCTCCGCCGCAGATCCCCAGTGGGCCGCGGAACTCGACGACGCACTCGGCAGACGCCGACCGGCGGTCGGCTGCTCGTACAGTTTGATTCCGCAAAGATGGCCGCTCGCGGCAAACGGGCGAGGAGGCCGTGGGCGGAACCCCCTTTGGGGGCGGTCTCCGAGGAGCGTCTCGCGGGGCGGCCCGGTCGGCCTCCATTGGTCGGCCCGACTTAATGAGATGCGGGCCGAAAAGGGGCGTGTTCGCGTCAAAGTGGCGAGGAGGACGTCCGTGACGTCAGGCGGCCGCTCAGCGCTCCATTGGTCCGAGGCGGCGATTATCTGAGCCGACAGCGTCGGCGTCCGAGCGCGACAGAGCGGTGCGACCGGCGACTTCGGGTCGGCGATTCTGGCGTGAAAGCCGGTCTCTGGCCAAGCGTGCTGCCCGTCGGCGCGGCGGGCGCTTTTCCTTCCCGCGAGCCCCCGTCCGTGCCGCTGCCTCGCCGGAAGCGGAGGGCCCCCCTTCCCGAGCCCATGAGGCGGGCCGGCTGCGCCCAACGGACCTGACGGACCCAAACTCGCTGCTCTTTGTCGGCGGCGCGTCTTGCACTACCAGGTGGGTTCTGGACACGCTGCTCGCGGCGTTTTAGCGGGGCTTGCGGGTCTTTTTTGCCGGGTCGGGGGAGTCTGCGTGGCAAGCCTCCGACTACAGGCTGGTTGTACGGAACGGCGTTCCTGGAACGCGTTCCTTCTAGGAGGGGCGGACGAATGCCGCCGTTCCATCATGCATCGGTGGAACTGGCACGGAAGCTCGTTACATTTTCGAGAAAACGGCAAAAACAACGGCGTTTGCTTTTTTTTTTTTTTTTTCTATGTTGATTTGCAATTTTATTTTAATTTAATAGGTATTTTTTTATTTTTTAATTATCGACTATATTTGAGTCTCCGAATTCGAGAGATAGGGAACGGTCCGAGAGATAGTCGAAACGAAGAACTGGAAAAAAGATTTGATCGTGATTTGGATGTGGATATTTTCACTCACTCTATTGTATCTACAGATTTTTTTTATTAATAAAACAGGCATAGGTAACGTTAATGTAACAAGTTCCCATCTTAGAAATGGAACGGGGACGCGTTCTTTTCGAACGACTGAAACATTAACGGGAACTCGTCCCAATATTGAAAAGGAACGAAGAACGAGCTTTCGTTCCTGTTTTGGGGGAGCGTGTCCAATGCCTCTGAGGCTTTGACGGGGGCGTTTGGTCGGGTGGGTTTGAATCCCACACGTTCCCCTTTGTTCGTTTGTATATACATATTTGTTTTATCGGGGCGGGAGCCCCTGTTCTGCCCCCGAACAAGTGGTTCGGACGCCATGATGAGGGGTTGGGATTCCGTAGTTTGGCTTCTGAGCGAGTCCGGCGTTCCTTGCTCTACTTTGACGTCGCACCGCGGTCTTTGGCTCGTGACAATTGCTTCTTCCGCGGTGGCTCCTTCGCGGCGACAGGTGACAGGCACCCGATGTTCTGTCACGGCTTACAGCCGGGCTCAAAACGATATATTAAAACAAAACGAAAAAGTACCTATACGGTTTTAAGTGCGCGACAGAATGTACTTGCTGCATTTCACTTGGGGAGTTAGTTTAAAGAAATGAGGATGAAGTTTACGTCTATACTTGTCTCGAAGAATAATGTGCATTTTTATATCTCGAATTCTGCGTCGAGTGCTTCCTTCGCGACGCATGGGAGCGCGAGTCCGCTGTCAGAATCAGGATCATGCTCGCAATTCGTTACCGCGAAGTGCAAACCATGCATTTGTGAATCGACGGGTGCAACTCTCTTCACCCGTTGTTTCATGCTCGCAATTCGTTACCGCGAAGTGCAAACCATGCATTTGTGAATCGACGGGTGCAACTCTCTTCACCCGTTGTTTCATGCTCGCAATTCGTTATCGTGAAGTGCAAACCATGCATTTGTGAATCGACGGGTGCAACTCTCTTCAGCCGTTGTTTATGCCGCGCGATACAGATAGATCGACACGACGCTTAGCCATGCAAAATCAATCGCGGTTCCTTTTGATCCTTACGGCGAATGGTGTTGGGTAACCGTTTGTGCGCGTAATTATTTAGGACAGGATGATTCGCGCTGGTCCCTCTTAGAGGCTCTCCCGTGCACATGTTGCTGGCACCAGCGCGCGCCAGGAGGTGACCATATATATATATCGGAGTTACTGCGATCGAAGGATTCATGAAGGAAGGCGTGCAATGATCAGATCGCATGATGGGCAGTATTTCGTGTTGAAGTATTTGAAATGTACACTTAATATACGTCGAATAGTTTGTATGTCGCATTTAATTATACGTATACTATGGGAATGCATATTCGAAGATTGTTTTTAGATACCGAAAATGCAGTGTTTAAAATACTCGTATTTCTAAAAACAAAAACAAAAAAAGAAAAACGACCAGAATACACGTTTGGGACATTGGACCTTCGCAGTCAAAGGCGATTTTGGAAACTCTTTGCGGGGAGTCTGGAAAAAGAAAACATATTAGTTGGTTATTCAGCAGGGTTGAGTCTGCCGCGCAGTAAATGGCGACATTGTTACACACTGTAGATTAGAAATGTAGCCAGTACAACCGCTGTAGCCCGGGGTCTTTAACGTGCATCACGCAGTAGTACGTGATGAACGCCGCAGTACGATGCTCATCCAGATCGAAACGGGCAGAGGTTCTGCAGCGCGAGCTTTCGCAGGAAGTCCGTAAACAGCGTAAAACATTCACGCTTTGCGCACAATAAACATCGAAGAAAGACAATGACGAAGGAACAAACGGAGCGGGTCGTTTCAGAAGTGGTAGACATATGACATTCATGATGCGTGTTTGTTTGAAAGGGCTTCGCGTCGCTTGCATTGAACCTTCGAAATCAACGTCGCATGCACAGAATGCATGCATTGTTTTTCCTGTTGCTGCATCCACCCATCTTATGCCAAACAACTTTTTTTTTAAAGTTTTTTTTTATCGATTTTGTTTTTATGTTTGATCTTTTACATTAGACTCCATTTGGACGCGTTGTTTTTTTACCCGCGGGGTTCTGTTTATTAGTTTAAGTGATCAAACCATACAACCGGGGTCACACCGTTCATACGTCCAGGCACGTAGCCAGGATTTTGTTTCGAGGGGGGGGGGGGGGGCGCCCATGACAGAAAGCTGTATGAAGGGGAGGGGGGAGAATAGGTCCCAGCAAAATGGAAGCTTTCGGGGGGGGGGGGGGGGGCGCCTGGGGTCCATGGGCCTCCCCCCTGGCTGAGTGCCTGCATACGTCAAATGTCATGCAAAGACAAGTCTCCGCAATATTCCTGGTTCGAATGCCGCTCATACCAGGCTCGTGCATGGCCATGCGGCATTCGAAGCAGGGATCTCGCGGGGACTCGCGTTTGAATCTTTATGCAGACTGTCTTTTGTATCATGTATAAGCAGTGTGACATGTGTAGAAGTATTTGGGAATGATCAAATACTGGTCTCTGTGTTTGGATCTTGTATTTCCATATACCGTTTTGCGATGAATTTTCCATCCCTGATCTGGAAAGAGAGCAAATTTGTCAGGGCACATGCCCAAGACTTTGTGGAGGCGTTTCGCCGATCGAATGTTTATATATCGGTATATTTCAAAACCAAATAGGCTTCATTTTTTGTTATAAAAAAAAACATAAAAAAAAGCAAAAACAACTCGTATGTATGGAAGCGTGTGGAGGTACTTGGCGCATGACATTCTGCGGGGTTTCGATGTCGCGAATGAAAACAGTGGCATGCTATTTTTGCACGAAAAAGAAATCCAGTCTCGTGCACGCCAAGCACACCTTAAATGGGATCGGTGACTCTCGCAGGAGATACACTAATGATGGCGTCATGCATAGGCCTCGTCTTCCACTCAAGGTTACAGCCGACACGAAGAACCCTCGTAAACTCGGTGCAAACGCTGCCGTCTGCTTGTATGAATGTTACGAAGAAAGTATATTTAATTTATTACCCGATCTAACCGACTTGCACACCGCCACTCGATCGTGACACCAAGTGAGGTCGAACAGATGCATAAACCGGAATGAAGCTAAATTGTACGCTTAAATTGCGTAAAAGGGCTTTATGAGACATTAATTGGTTACTTCCTGCTGTATTAATGGGCAGCTATGAGGTATTGCAGTAACGCGGAATTAACGGATAACCGCTACCATTTCGGTTACATCAGGCAACGCGGTAATTCCGAGCACCGATTGACACTTGAACTACCTACGCAGCTAAATAAATTTAGAAAACTACCGGTTTAATTATACTCCGAGAGAAACAATGTTAAAACTTGTATACCGTTTATATTGGTGTTAATCTTCATTCTGGTTGTGTATGCTTTTGCGACGAGAGAAATAAAAGGAAAAATAAACGGGAAAAATGGAAAACGGGAAAGGGGGGGGGGGGCTGTATAGTAAAAAAGGAACGAAAACCTTAGCGCGCTCGGCTGCCCATTTACCTGCAGCGCAGCGTTATAATGTAATAATATATAGTAATTTGCTAATAGTGGAATTCGAATATTTTCGAATCGAATATCGTATAGTCTCCAAGCCTTTCAATACTGTGGTACCATGCTAAAACGAAAACACAGCGACACTCGTGAACTTCTGCTTGTCCATTTCTTAGCTAATTTATTCTCGCTATATTTATGGACTGTGGCCTCAGAAAGTCCAGTGCGTATACATTGTGATGGCAGGGAAACGACGGATATGCCATAAAGGGATGCATGGGTGGATTGCTAGGGGTCGGGGGTTGGTTGGGGGGGGGGCTTCTGCAATCAATTTTACTGATCTAATATTTTCTATATCCACAAATACTAAATATTTCTTTATAAAAAAGAACTGGTGTACGTCGATTTTTTTTTTTTAATTTCAAAAAGTAGACTTTGGAAGGACAGAACGACCCCCCCAACCTTAAATTCGCCTGTTTAGGAAGACAATACCTAATCGAGGAAATACACAAATCTTGCTTTATGCAAATACCCTCTCTTCAATCTCGAAGTAAAAAAAGAAAAAAAGAAATACCATCTTAATAGATGAGCGCACGTTGTCCGGGCTTCTGTGCCTAACATATACTCTTGCATAACAGCCACAGTTTGAGCTTGCGAATTTCACTGCAAGCGAGTTATCAACGATCACAAAGTTTTCGCTTCTTTTTAAGTACACCAGGCGCGCGCGTGTATCCTTCAGTTTTAAAAGTATGCGTTTCTACGTACTTCTTGGAATGTTGATTGCGGCGTGTTAGCCCCGTTAAACGCGCTTCTCGGCATTGCACCTGTGCTCAGCAAGAAGGGCGCTCAACGGCGCTAACCCACCGCGGTCAACACTTCGAAAAATACGAATATCCTTCCCAGTTCACCTCGGAGCGATCATCGAATAGCCTATTATTCGAAACTATACTATTCGAATATTCGCACAATGCTAACAATAATCTAGAGGGGAAGGTCTCACGCATTTCGACCGCTTCAGAACGGCTGAGCACGCGGTCCTCAGCGGCCCCATCGATGGTCCGGATGGGCCCAGATCACTGGAGACGCTTTAATAAAAAGTAGCAGGATA